AGGGAGAGGAGGAGAGAGGGAGATGAGGAGAGAGGGAGATAAAGAGAGAGTGATAGAGGGAGAGAGGGAGGTAAGGAGAGTGGGAGAAGGAGAAAGGAAGATAGGGAGAGAGGGTGAGAAGGAGATAAGGAGATGAGGGAGAGAGGGAGAGAGGGCCTATATTTTGATAGTTTACAATAAAATTATATGTACATGAAACAATGAGCTGAAACATTGTTTGATAGCGGCCGGTTTTTCGTTATATAGTCAGTCATTTTGGCCTGTTCTACATCTTAAACTAAAAGCAACATGATTTTCTCGTAAAATTTCTAAAATCTTGTACATTAATTTGCTATGATTGTTGGAAAAAAATATCCACAAGTGGGCGTGATAAACGCCCACTTGTGGATACTGGATATATTACATTGTTGATATATTTACATTTATAAAACTTAGTAAATGATCATTTAATTAGTGGCATTACAACTACACTTGAGAAGCGCCCGCTCATGGATATACACGATATCATTCCTCGCCATGAGAGCGGAACTATCGTATAGCACTCGGGCCCGTTGGGCCCTCCGTGCTATACGAAAATATCTCCGCCTCGGGCTGGCACCCTCGTGGAGATATAAAATATTGCACGCGCACGCGCGTGCAATATTTAGTACCGCCCTCAAGGCTGCGGAGATATCTATATATATCGCCGCGATGGTATAGCAGGCTCCCGCTATATCAGCGGGCTGGGATATATCAGGTCTACTAACTACCGGGCTGCGCAGGCCTGCTGGTGCAAATATAGCCCACTGGTGGATATATATACATATCACCGGAGACTCGCGGGCGGAACAAAATATTGCACGCGCACGCGCGTGCAATATTTCATATGTCCCCGAGGGCGCTAGCCCGAGGAGGACATATTTTCGTATAGCACAGAGGGCCCATCGGGCTCGAGTGCTATACGATTTTTCCGCCCGCGGGTCGAGGTGATGTGGATTATATCCACCAGCGTGAGCTTTTTCTTACAGATATTATTTTAAAAAATATCGGGTATATCCATGAGCGTGCGCTTCTCAAGTGTAGTTGTAATGCCACTAATTAGATGATCATTTACTAAGTTTTATAAATGTAAATATATCCACAAGTGGGCGTTTATCACGAAGCTTCAGTTTCCAACAATCACAGCAAATTAATGTACAAGATTTCAGAAATTTTACGAGAAAATCATGTTGCTTTTAGTTTAAGATGTAGAACAGGCCAAAATGACTGACTATATAACGAAAAACCGGCCGCTATCAAACAATGTTTCAGCTCATTGTTTCATGTACATATAATTTTATTGTAAACTATCAAAATATAGGCCCTCTCTCCCTCTCTCCCTCATCTCCTTATCTCCTTCTCACCCTCTCTCCCTATCTTCCTTTCTCCTTCTCCCACTCTCCTTACCTCCCTCTCTCCCTCTATCCCTCTCTCTTTATCTCCATCTCTCCTCATCTCCCTCTCTCCTCCTCTCCCTCTCTTTCTCTCCCTCTCTACTTCTCTACCTCTCTACTTCTCTACCTCCCTGGAACCAGAACAAGCACCGCCAGTCGCCACAGAGCCTGCTACTACCACGTGAGTTGTCATTATCAGTTACCAGGGTAACCAGGGTTACCCAGGTAACCAGTTACTAGAGTTTCTGTAGCAGCTACTGAGTGACTGGACAATCAAAAGTAGTAACCCAGAGAGCTCGAGATCACAGTCTGATCATGGACATTGAATATAAAAGTTAAAGATCAAATTTATAACATCAATTTAAATGGCAGTTTCAAAACAAAAACAGGGCAAAATATCTTTTGGGAACACAATAGAATAAAACGTAAAATGTCGGCCTAAATTTCAAGGTTTATCAACTGAAATAGTGAACTGAAAATGGTAAACACAAAACAATTATCGATACTAATGGATATCACAGGCTTAGACTTAACGTCTCCACGAATTTGGTAACCATAGTAACAGTGTGTCACGTGTTAATTATGAGCCAATCATGGCAATCTGCGTGAAAACTGATATAGCATCCGATATTATATAAGGTCAGGTCAGAGTTCAGAGTTGATACATTCATTACATCCACATATTGCCGTGGGAACTATTAAAGTGTACTGTGTAGTGTGTAAGTGTGGATCAATAACACTGTTCAGTGTTCAGATTTCATGTCATCTGCTCACGAGATGTATCATCAGCGAGATGTATCATCAGGAGACGATACAGAAACTGAAAATATTTTAGAGAACTCCGGGCTATATTGCTACTGGTCAAATTAAATGTCACTTGTTAGCGGGCTATATCATGAGCGGGCTGTAGAGATATCGGGCCCTTTGACAGCGGGCTGGTGAGAGCCCGCTATGCGAAAAAGCGCACGCTGGTGGATATAATAACATAAACCCGCCACGCAAAGGGTTTATATAACAGATCATCCCGCGCTAGCGATATGATCTGATAAACACATACGAGTGCGCGCAGCGCATGAGTTTTGTGTTAATATGTAATCCCGAAGCGCCAGCTGAGGGATTACATTTATTTAGCCCTGAGCGTGAAGTGTTTATGGATTATAATTATCTCCGGCGATTTCGACAAGGGATTTATACTTTAGAAGAGAGTCATAGTTCATCAATCTGAATGTCAAACTGATCTGTCATAGTGGAGCAATAGTTTGAACGTTAGCAGGAACAAGAGCTGGAAGGAGAGCAAGCAAAACAATACTATTTTTAGGGCACGGACAAGGGTAGCTGGCTAGTCGCCAACTTCTCACGCCACGCGTTGGAGAAATTCCAAGAATTAGCTGCTTTGGCAACGTTCCCAGGAATTTGCGTGTAAAAGAAGTGGACGGTTACGATGTTTCATATCACGTGGTGCGCTTTCGTGTCACGTGGTATAGACTCGGCGTATGCTATTGGTGGCACGTGGTACGCACGTGATGCGCCCACGTGATCGCGCGTCTAACTGTTCTACTATTATCGAGTTCTAATCAGCAGTATCATTGATTATTGTAAGTCGGAGAATTGAATGATAAACATCAGTTACGACTAAAAAGCGGGCCGGGTTTATACAAATTTCCGGGGCGGGATGATATCACCTTGAGATGTTTATCTAACAGCGGGCTGGGCTGAGTGATAATATGATCCCGCGTCGAAATCCCGGAGATATTTATAATATAATATAAATATATAATTGTGGGTCGCGTCGTCTGCTGACAGTACTCAATCGGCAAGCCGAGAGCTGAATACAAATTGAAACGACGATTTGAGTCAGACAAAATTCTAAAACATAAGGTTTTTGCGCAACACCCCAAGGAACACCTGTGCTAAGTTTCAGATTCTGGGTGTGGCCAGTCTTCTTAACTTAGGACGTTTTAACTTTTTACAGTCTTCTGGTGTCCCTCAAGGTTCTATACTTGGCCCTTTATTGTTTGTTATATTTATAAATGACATGTTCTCCTGTGTCTCTGAAGGCACCAATATCGCCCTTTATGCAGATGACACTAAAATTTGGAGGGAGATTCTTGGTTACCCTGACCATCACATAATCCAAAATGACATCAATAGATTGTATGATTGGTCAGTGAGAAATCGAATGAAGTTCCACCCACAAAAGTGCAAAGCCCTCTCTGTGTCCCTGCAAAGAAACGTGCTGGATAACTTGCCATTCAATACCTTCTTCTATAAACTTTCTGGAAGTGATATTGACTTTGTGCCCTCTCAGTCAGATTTAGGAGTCACAATAAACTCCAGGTTTAATTGGGGTGCACAATGTAAAGCGCTTGTTTCCAAAGCTAACTCTAGACTTGGACTACTTAAGAGAACATGTCATTTCACTACTGATAAAAGGCAGAAAAGATCGTTCTATCTAGCGTTAATTAGGTCTATATTTGAACATTGTTCTGTCATATGGTCCCCTCAATCTGCAACTCATCTTCAACAGTTTGTTGCTATCCAAAAGAGGGCTATTAAATGGATCAATGGTGAACCCTACTCCAGTTATAATGACGATAAACTTGCTACAGAGCAAAAGAAGCTAAATATTCTCCCTGTCATGCAGAAGTTTATTTATAACGATCTTATGACCTTCTATAAAATAGTGAATAGCATAATCCCAGTTTCGCTTCCTACTTATATAGTCCTATGCCGTCCAGAGGGCACCCGATACACCAGGCACAATGCTCAAATAATTGATAGGTCGGATACTTCAACTTACATGAGTACCACTGTGCCCTGCTCGGATGCCTTCCGAAATAGCTTCTTTCATAGATCTATGCTGAAATGGAATAGTCTACCAGTATGTATCCGGCAGTCAGAGCGGATTTCTACTTTTAAGGCCAATCTGATCAAGTACCTCTGGGCTGCCGATACAGTCTGGCCAGACTAGCTCATCAGTCTTATGAGTCTCAGAAATGTGTTTTTGTTGGTTACAATTCTGTCCGTCCAATTTCCTATCCGCTTGTTCTTCCTTTTCTTCTTTCAGTTGTGACGGAATTGTAATGAACAAAATCCATATATAATTATTTATGATATGTTTGATTTCTTGTTATTGTATGTCATTCAAATTTGGTAGACGGCCCCAACGTTAATGTGGCTCTTGCTATGTGTTGGTTCAGCCGAATTAATTATTATGTAATCAAGTTTATATTTCTCTTTTAGTTAGTTGTCATCCGGCCAAACATTAAGCAACTTATATTGCAGTAACATTTATCAATTAGTTTATCAAAATATGTCATTCTAATTTTGCATGGCTGAAATGTAACGCTTGATTCTTATATAATATAATAATTAATTGAATTTTCAAATTAAAAAAAAGTTAAAGTTTTACATGTAATTACATGTAAACCTCAATATTTGGCGCGCAATATCTTAAAAACGCAAGGTAAGATTTCGGTCCGGTTTTTTTCTTCTTGTTCTTGTTTTCTTCTTGAATGTATTTAGATGATAGATCACAGCCTCAACTGCCTCATACACATCAAAAAACATTACATAATCAAAACGTACCTGTCTTTTTCATATTAGGAGTGAGTTTCATTATGCCACTCTTTGTCTTTATAGTCCTGAATGCCTCGTTATAAATCTCTATAAATGATCCTTGACAACTCTCTTCGGACCTTCCAAAATCCCATTCAAAATGTTTTATCTGTAAAATTCATGATTAATTGTCTGTGTGTTTCTTTCCAAAAATTTGCTAAATTAAGTCAGGAGCAAATACGAATTGTTAAAAAGGGAAACAAACTAATCTAGCCTACAATATAATAATAATAAAAATCAAAATGTATGTTGCTTGATGCTGGTATTAACTGTAAAACATATATTTTGAGGGATAACAAAGTGTTTATAAAGTATAAACACTGGGTTCTGAAACCTAATTTGATCGATTTCTCGTGAAATTTTATTTCAGGAACAGTCATCAAAATGACAAGGTTATTTTCAAGCTTTTACTCAGAAAATAAATCTGAATCTCCATAATATGTGAGACCAGCTGCAATAATGGTCTAACAGGAGATTTTTGAACTCAGTGAAAAATGGTCTATCTCATGAGGTATATATTATCACAGTGATCCATGATAGTGCATGGAAAAAATCTTAAAATTCCAGTTTGGTAGAATGGTCCAACGCCTCTTAGACAAAATCGGCCTTTTAAAATTACGGTAGATCCCAATTATTTGGCCAATTTGACATTATTGGGTTCAAGAATGGTCTATTTCATAATTTTATTGTTCAGAAATCAATTGATACAAGGTCTATGTCATCATTTAGTGATGTAAGTAAATAAAAAGCTGGTGCAATGGTCTATATTACGGTTTATTTTTGGTCTAAGTCAGTTATCATCTTGTGCAATAATGGTCTATGTAGGAAAGTACATCACTGTGAGCACTGCAATGACTTGAATATTGGTAAAGTAAGTGATCATGATGCGCACAAACACAAATGTTCATGATAAGCATGTTTCAATATGCTATAAACAATCTATCATAGACTCAATAGCAACTTATAGTAAAACAATTTGACTGCCATTTTCTCAAAACTACCCAAAAAAAGATAGACCATTATTGCAGCTGGTCTCACATATTATATGCATATTTCATCTAGGGGGGTAACAGGAGTTACAAGCGTTACAAGACGTGTTCCAAAGCACACGTGACTACTTTTACGTGACTACCTTTACTTTCAGGTAAACAAATATACCTCTCCTCTCAACCAGAATCTACATATTCTATAGATTAAAATAGTTATTTTTCATCAAAAAGTATACAAGCTATCAGTAAAAATTAACAGCACAATTGCAGTTGCAATTGTTATATGTAGGTCTATTTCGAATAATATGTAGGTCTATTTCGAATAAGAAGCTGAGTTAAAGGCAGTATTGACTGTAACAATTAATGGAAACTTACTGAAACAGTACAGTTACCACAGTCAAAAATAATGAATTCGTTGTCGTGATTTCTCCCTTTGTTTGACCATGAGAAAACTTGCTTGGACTTTGTCGGAGTCAACCGTGTTATCTTTCTTTTCTAAAAAAATAATTGTTTACTTATCTACTCAGTTTACTTTAAATCTGCGAGCGAACGAGTTTCAGAGGAAATTGTTAATTAAAAACAATAATTGAAGGGTAAGAATAGGTGATACGTAAACGAACCAACTTCGAAGATTTACTTTCCCCTCCATTATACAGGGGGGGGGGGGGGGGGGGGGTGTGGGCAAAAGTCAGTGCACATACGTTGGCCTATATAACTCAGTCACTGAGTGCCCGATTGAGACAATTCTTTCTTGTATGAATTACTATCAGACCCTGGTCATTAGGAAAGTTCGCACGAGATGGACCACGTTTTTCCCAATTTAACTTTAGAAGATTGTCACAGCAAGAACTTTTAAGATAGGCATATGATATTTCACATGTTTATAGTTCAACTAATTGAGTTTCGATTAATACAATTTTTAAAGCATTTAGTCGAGGGCAAATTGAGGCTAACGAGTCATTTTACATTTTGTATTCTAATGACAGGTTCCAAGTATGTAATAAAAGTTTAAACGTGTTCAATCGATTCGTCAGATCGAACTCTTTTAGAATCCGAAGAGAAGAGGGAAATTTTTTCGCTAATTGAGGGGAAAATTAGGCTAACAAGTCATTACTAAGTTATGAATTATATTTGAATTATAACGTCTATCATAGTATCCTCAGACCTAAAATACATGAGATGGATGCTTTAGGTCGAAGGCTGGCCCAGCCGACCCCTCTTTTCCTTCTAATTGAGGGGGAAATGAGGCTAACAATTCATTACTAAGTTGTGAATTATATTTGAATTATAACGTCTATCAAAGTATCCTCTGACCTAAAATACATGAGATGGATGCTCTAGGTCGAAGGCTGGCCCAGCCGACCCCTTTTTTCCTTCTAATTGAGGGGGAAATGAGGCTAACAAGTCATTACTAAGTTGTGAATTATATTTGAATAATAACGTCTATCAAAGTATTCTCTGACCTAAAATACATGAGATGGATGCTCTAGGTTGAAGGCTGGCCCAGCCGACCCCTTTTTTCCTTCTAATTGAGGGGGAAATGAGGCTAACAAGTCATTACTAAGTTATGAATTATATTTGAATAATAACGTCTATCAAAGTATCCTCTAACCTAAAATACATGAGATGGATGTTCTAGGTCGAAGGCCCGCCCAGCCGACCCCTTTCTGTCTTCTAATGGAGGGTAAAGTGAGGCTAACAAATATTTTCTAATTGAATTATGTTTGAACAATAACGTCCTTTAAACTATCCTTTGCCCTGGTATACATTATATGGATACTTTAGGTCGATGGTAGACTCCACCTACCCTTTCTATCTTTTGATAGAGGGTAAAATAAGGCTAACTACCAAGGTTTTGTTCATTTCTTGTTCTACTGCTTCTTCGGACTTGCCCAAATTGTTTCTGTCTAACCTGTATTCATGAATAGTCGATGGTCATATACTAACCTGACATGAGTTTTGAGAGGTGAGATTGAGGCTAACTCCTGTCACGCTTATTATAATAATATTTAATAAGTTATAATTTTAATGTTGAATGCTTTTCCCAGTGGCAAATAGTCTGAAGGCGTCCAGGAATTTAACACCTAGTCAAAATTAGTTGATAACCGGTAAAAAAAAATTCTTGTGGACAAAATATTCACATTAATTTAAAATCAAATTAAAATTGGTCGCTCTCAGGGCTAACGCGATGTTACACCGCGCAAATTTCTTTATCAACTCGAAGTTCGAATCGAGCGCATTCCTAGATTCCATGACTATTTCTCACCTAGATTGCTTGACTATTTTTTGCGCATTCAGACACCAAAAAACGCGCTGAAAACGCGCGACATCCATTCCTGCTTCCTCAATATTCCCGGAATATGAAAAAATAGTCATGTAAACTTAACTAGTCATGTAAAATATTCATGCAAAATTTTAGCACTGATACGCTAAAATATCGAGTTAAGCTTAAACAATCGACAATCTATGAATCCTCCCAATTCATTACGGCTTAATTTCCAGGATAGGATTGTGAATTCATATAAACAATCCCTCTCTAGCCATATTAACTGGCATGGTGAACGGTGTAAATATAGAGCGGTATTTTAAAATTTAGCATAATTAAAAATTTAATGGATTCAAGTTGGCTCCTTTAGTCTAGATTCATTTAGAAAATTCTCGAAGTTCGAGTCAACAACAGTGCAAGTGGGAAGGAAGTGAATCTAGCCACTTGCTACTATATCAGGGGAACTCGTGTGTTCTAGGCTTAAGCAAGCTTCACATCCTAGATCATCTAGAGTACAGTGCAAGTGTAAACAGTACTTTAAAATTGTATTTTTGATTTGCTCGCTTCCGCATTTCAATAATACTCACTATTTGGTTTTAGAGTTGTATACTTTCCCTATAAAGAGGAATTGTAGTCTAGTCAATTACTATGTCAAACTACTACTACTACCACTACTACTTTGTTGAAACTAAGTCCGATCTATGCCAGATAACCCCCTCCATCACATATCCCTATTCCGCATTAAAGTCCGAACTTTACCATATAGTATATTGTCAAAGATTGTAAATATCTGGCAGAAGCAAGCTTCAGATCCAAAGTTACGACAAAAGTATCAGCATAAGGACGAAGCCACTTTAAGAGTAGCGATTAGTCCATTATGCTGATATTAGTTAATACTCGATATGTGTAGAGATGTTTGTGGGCTATATAATGCTTGAAAAATATTTCCTTGCGTTTCAAATAAATTAAAGAATTCTCAGAAATTTTTTACTTAATTTCAAAATTTACAATTGCATATTCATCCGGTAATTATTCTAATGGATACGCTAACCATTTCAAAGTAATCTTGACCTGGGACAAGAGCTGACCAGTGACCAGTCGGCCGCGAAGCAGCCGAAATATATATAGCCTTTTTTTCTTCTCCAACTGGTTTCCTAGTCATATTTAAAATTTATTCCACTGGGATGCTTTTATTTATATTACTGTATAACTCCACTTTTGACCTACTTGACGGCCACTTAATAATTTCATAATCGCAGGTAGTGCGATTACAAACTAATGGACACGTTTTTTAAAAAGTGTGTTGAAAATGACTTTGAGTGCCATGACACTTTTGACAGAGTAGGTAAAATGACTAGTAACTAGAAAGTGTAGCACAGATATGCCTTCAATCTTAACTGCCCCTGTAAGGAAAATCCATTACTTAGTTAACATGTCATAATATAGTACCAAGGCAGTGCCAGTTTTCAGCGTTTTGGACTATAAAGCTATAATGTTGAAAACGCCCATAAAAAACTGAATTTTGCAACTTTTCTGTTCAAAATTCAGATTATCAGATTATGTCTCAGAATTTTGAACAGAAAAGTTCAGATCTAAAGAAACACTGCTATTTCTATCTTCTGAGATAAAAAGACAACCAGTATACCATAGTCTCCTTTATCCAAGAATGCATCTTTGGCAGAGCAGCGCTACAAGTATACGCATTCCTCCAAATGTGTATCAGCCCGTAGCTGACGGCTCCAGCCTGAAAAGGTGTATCTTATAAATTGCTTCTGCTTCTATGTTAAGGAAAAAATTTACTCAAAATCAAATGGGTCCACTTGGAAATTAGAATTAGAATTAGAATCAAATTTACACAGCAATACAATAAGAATAAAAAATAATTTAAGAAGCTTCAATCTGCTGTGCAGTCCGACATCAATATGTCTTCTGTTTATATTAAAGTCAATATTGTGACGGTACATTAGGGATGTACTCATTTCTCTAGGGAAACGGCGTTACAGCCCAGTTCCACGGCTCAGTTTTGCGACCAGATTTGACACAAAACTCCGCGAAAAGAGTTTTGAAAGGCAAAACTCTGCGAAGGCAGTTTTGTTTACAATGTACGTTCCCACGGTTGGTATTTGCACACAGATTTGCGCGCGCACGTGGGCGCATTATAATAAAATTTTACCCACACGAGCACCCAGGTTAAAATTGCTTTCACGGAGTTTTGGGTCGAATATCAAAAATATTTCTCTGTGCGGAGAAATATTTTTGAATTTCATTTCCGGTCACAAAAATGTGAGAAAAAATGTGAGCAAATCTGGTTGCAAAACTGAGCCGTGGAACTGCAGGGTAAGATCCTAAAATCACATTTAGGCTAAATGTGATTACTTAGGGATATCAAACATTTCGCACTTACCAGTTTGGGAACGCCGTCCCTAACTATCCACACAGGACCACCAGAATCTCCTTGACCTGCGAAGTTCACCTTCATTCCGTTTCTACCATGGCAAAAGATAGAGTCGTCCACCGCACTGCAACATAAGTAGTAACAGATTTAATTAATCTAAATGAAATATATGTAAAAACATGATAATAACGGTGAAACAATAAACAATCCTAGTATTGGATAACTGCAGTTAAGTTATGAATAACTATAATATTAGTAATGTTATCAGCAGAGCACTATAGCTTAGTTGATACTATTAGGGAATTGAGAGTGAAATGTATTGAGATGCTCACCTGACCACGAAGCAGGGTAAATATGTATTGCCACTTTTTCCTTCTAAAACGGTTTCCTAGCCATTTTTTACATTTCAACCACCGTACACCCCAAAAAATTCGTTCCATTGCATATCGATGGGCAGAACCGACTTGGACAAAAATTGGCTGATTTATGAGCCAAAAACCATAATATGACCATATTTACAACCTTTTTTTCAGCCCATAAACTAGCCGATTATCAATATCTTTGGATGGGACAAACTTACGAACTTTTTTCTGACGTCAGAAATTTTGGGAACTCTTGCGGATGATTTCTGGGACCTGTCCCGACCATTCTCCGACAAAATCGCTTTGTTATGCATTATTTCTTGCAGAGTAAGGGCAACAATGCTCTGAGAAAAGTTTGGTGTGCAGACAATATAATAAACTTTCGCACAGATAGGAATTTAAAAAAAAAACATTTTGACGATTTTGCGTGCGCATAAGGCCTAAAAGCAATTTAGTTGGGGAGGGGGGGGGGGGGGGGGGGGGGGGGGGTAAAGGGTAAAAAAATCAACCAAAATATTATTTTCTAAATTAATTTAATTTTTGAGGACAAAAACAGTGCTGCTATTCAAATATTTGTAGCTGCTTAACTTTTATTATAAATGAGGTTAACCACAAAGGAAGCCACAAAGAAGATATGGTGGGCAGAAAGATAGATTGGACAAAAAATGACTGAGTTATGAGCCAAAAACCATATGCCCTTATTTTTGATTTAGGCCTCAAAAGAAATTTGGCGGCCAAATTCTGAATTTTGCTGAGCAAATTTTGGAATTTGGGTCCACCAAATTTTTTTGAGGCCTAAATCAAAAATTCGTTCTTAAAATAAGGTGGAAATGCAATTTCGAGTCGATTCCGAAAATTCCATGCAAACATTTTGAAAACTGTATCAATTTTAATGAGATCAATTCCACGAATATCGCGAACCAAGATAGGGCAATTTAGTTCATTTTTTGTGGTCTTTTCGCCTTAGTACTACCATTCGTTTCATCTCAACGGTGAAAAATCTTGGGATATATATAATGGACAATCGACTATCCTTTGATAACCATGTAGTTGAATTAAAAAAGAAATGCTTCAGAACCCTACGGAATATAAGAAAGATACGGTTTCTTCTTACTTTCGATCAAATTAAAACTGTACATTAACTGTGGTTAATAGTCTGGTGGTTTCCTGCCTTGATTACTGCAATGGCCTCTTCTTCGGTGCAACTGAAAAAGTATGGCACCAGCTACAGTTAATTCAAAACGCTGCAGCCAAAGCTGTCACCGGTAAATATAAACATGATCATATGGGTGATAACCTAAAGAAACTCCATTGGCATTCAAAAGTATTGATATTTGACCAATTTATTGGACGAAATCTACCAAATTTGGTGCATATGCCCAAATATGGGCATATGGTTTTTGGCTCATAACTCAGTCATTCTTTGTCCAATCTTGATGAAATTTCATATACGAGTTCAGGAGACCACAAGCTACAAGTAGAGCACCATAAACCTGGGTTTTGGGCATGTTTAGGGTATTTGGCTAAATTGGGTCTAATTTGGACCAGATATGGCTGTGGCTGCCCCGCGGGCACCGTTTGGCGGTTGGGGTCCGGGACCCCCTCAAAAGCTCGAAATAAGTTTCACAAAAAAATACCCATTGGCCCCCCCTCCCGCCCCCCCCCCCCCCCCCCCCCCCCCCCCCCCCCCCTTAAGACAATTATAATTTGTATAAAGCAAATTTGTAAAATGACATACGCTGCATTCACAAGGCGTTGTTCTGGAACAGGCTGGGTTATGTATCGCAACTTCATTGTACCAGATTGATATGTCCTTCCGAACCCTGAAATGCAAGAGGCACAAAGGAGAATCACGATCACAAGTTAAAGTTTTATCACTTGATAAAACAAAAATAGGAGATGCAAAAAATAGTACATAAGACGGTATGATTCAATATTGTAAACGAACATATCATCAAAAGCTACTGCTTCCCTCATGCAATTTCAAAGAGCTGTCAGCCCCACGGTATGGGGTCTCAGCCCAAAACTTACAAGTGGATGTACACCGCTGTTATACAATCTATCCTATTCTATTGGCCAGGTAGCGCAGTTGGTTAGCCAGCTTTGCAATCGTGAGGTTGAGGGTTCAAATTCCACTGCCTGCCTGGTCGTGGGGTGAGTGTCGTTGACATTCAGCTAAGGATCGTGAGTGGTCTATGCAGCCCCCCGGTCTACTCAGCCGAATACTCGAGAAATCGGGTGTGAGGGTTAAATGAGGAGCTGCACATTGCAGCAAAGTCTCGGGCGAAGAAAGTATGGTACACACTACCTTAACCGTCACTGGCTAAAAACAAATCCTTCGGCTTCCTGTAATTGGCTGGTTGCACTTGTGTAACAATATGGCTGTTGGAATACTCCGAAGTAAAATAAGTGTCTAGATAAAAAAATTGCTGCAGCAATTCTACTGATGGATCAAATCACTCAAAAACAATCACTCCAAGTTAATTTTCGAAAAAAACCTGAGTATCGGAAAAAAATGACTTTCTTATTCTCAACGGTTTCAAGAAACGAATTCCTCCTCAATCAACACAACCCATCGGGAGTAAAATATTCACACCCCACGTCATTGCTGAAAGTTTGAAATGTAGCTTTAGAGAATATTAGGGGGTCCTGTATCAACACTTCTCGGAAATTAGAATTCTATCGTGACATAAAATCCAAATTTAACAAAGAATATTACCTAGACAGTGTCATTAAATATGCAGACCGTGCTAATATCACAAGACTGCAGATCAGTGAACATCGACTCGAAATTGAACTTGGCCGATATATTCAAACTCCTCGCGATGAGTGAATATGCTCCTTGTGCAATATAGTCTTAGGTTCTGGTATTATTGAGAGTGAAGATCACTTCATTATTCATTAACAATTGTGATCTTAACGCTGCACCCAATTATGTGATATTTGAATCTTTTTGGACCACATACGAAAATTTGGTTAACTTTCATAGTATACTCGCTCCTTGAGATACAAGTATTTTAAAATGCTACACATTTTGGTACATTTTACGAACGTGTCCATATAATAAATAAATAAATTTAATATAAGGACACGTTTTTTTAAAGTGTGGTGAAAATGACTTTGAGTGCCATTACACTTTTGACAGTGTAAGTGAAATGACTAGTAACTAGAAAGTGTAGCACAGATATGCCTTCAATCTTAACTGCCCCTGTAAGGAAAATCCATTACTTAGTTAATACGTCATAATATAGTACCAAGGCAGTGCCAGTTTTCAGCATTTTGGACTATAATGTTGAAAACGCCCATAAAAAACTGAATTTTGCGACTTTTCTGTTCAAAATTCAGATTATTTCTCAGAATTATTCAAAGAATATTTGGATTTTGGTAGGAATACTTGAACTGTGCTCAAAATAAGCAAAAAGTCATTTGTTTAGAAAAATTTCTAGTTGGTTGATTGGGTTGTACAAGGCCCATACTTTTGATCAGCTTGTGAATGAACTGTAACAACTTTCAATAAACGTTGGTCTGTATTAATGTAACCTAGGAAAAACCTATTGTGTGCCTGTATTCAGTAAAAATTCACTCACAAAATTACAATTGATTTTTTTACATTGCAGTAGTTAGACAGCAACAAATTATAATGTTTTTCAATCATACTTTCGAGATTAAGTCTGCTCAACAGCATTCTGTTCGAAATTCAAATTAAGAGTGTGTCAGTTTTCAGTAAAAAGTCATTTTTAGGTCAAATTCATCACGATTAAAAATTCAAAAGGAATGACTCTTGGCTGAATATTGGCACTATACAATTGTGGTCTGACAGCATCTAGGCAGGTTCATCAAGATGATTCAAGTTACAAAATCTAACGATATTGTGTGTTCTAATTCAGCAAAAAGTAATTTTATGTATTTTACCATTGGTATATGCCTAGAAAAAGAAGTCATTTTAAGCTGAATAATGGCACACAGTGCAACAAAATTGTGCCACATTAAACGAAAAAGGCACACCGCTCCCTCAAACAATATTCTGAACTAAAAAGAGTGCCGTTTAGCAGTAAGAATGACTATTTCTGTCAAATAAGTCACTTTTTACTGATTTTCAGGACACATATGCTGTTCAAATTTTCAGGATGTAACTAAACTAAGATTCGTATCTGCAACATAAACAATTCGGTGGTTTGAGATCATGATTAATAATGCTGATATTGACTTATAATAATTGGTAATTCCCATGTTGGCTGCAGAAGTCACTACCTGATTAGTGGCACTCTTATATTATTATCTGTTTTTGACCCCTTTATGAACACATTACTTTTCGAAATAGATGCTTAAACTAACACTAGTACACCCATGGATCAAGAAATAGACAATTTTTGTCTTTTTACATCATTTATCTATATGACTGATATGCTGAATTTGGGCACTCGGGACATAATTGAGTGTAAGCAGTACAAAGTTCAAGCCTTCTTTTGACTGATTAATGGCACCTTCAATCTAAAAGTCAATATGGTGACTGAACAAGAGAACTGAAATTTCGATACTTATTTCATCAATTAGAAAAAATTAAATTTCAAGCTGATACATGTGTGACTTTTTGCTGATGGCTGGCACATAAACATGTAGGAGTTAGTTTAAAGACACAACCAATCATTGTCTTATCCAGAAAAAAACACAGTTATGCCTTGATCTTTTTAATATTTTGACAAGAACCATCAATAGAGCAGTCGTATTCAGATATAAAAATGACTTTTTACTGACTTCTGTCACTTACTGGAATTGCTAATAATGACTAAAATGCTGAAAACAGTTACTCACTCCAATCTACTAGTGTAATGTGAACAATATAATATTTGAGCAAAATATGGCGAAATCAATGGAATTAGTCGATTGGAGGTTAAAATGGTTTGCTGATTTTTGGCACTCAGTTTAATTGCTCATAAGTCATATTCTGCTTGAGCCTGGCACTTCGTTTTTTCAAATCACAACTGCTGAATATTTTCACTTCATCTTATGTACAAATTTATGGTTGCACTTTAAAAAGCACTGCGACTTTTTCCTCATTTTGTGCACTCTACTTTGAAAAAGGTGAAATCAGCAACTCTCCACACTTAAAAAAAACGTGTCCATAATATTATATAATAATAATAATAATTATTAATATTACACAAATAGGAGGGTAATACTTTCAGGATAATTACTTCCACGTCAACGACATTTTTGAAAACCAACATATTACCACTATTGTCAACTTCGCAAATTGCACCATGCGACTAATCGTGCCTGGGGAACTAGACAGTAGACCAGACCAGAATGACTTAGGGCATACTCTCATTTTGTCTTTGGCACTAAAGCAAAGCGTCTACTCATCCCCCGGCCCCCATCCATATCATTTTCCACTCACATCCATTATCTCCACATGGATAACTCCGCGCCGGCAACCTCCATCAGGGCCGGGCTGCCATACCACAGTGGCGGACAGAGCATCCTCTTACGTGGGCCATTAAGGTCCAGCCTCCCTTTAATTTTAAAAAAAAGTTGGTTTGTAAGTACTATAATATACTTTTTGAAATACTATACATATTCATTCTTACCGGCCATTGTTACTCTTTCGCCTGTACTTGGAATTTTGTCATCAATGTCAATCTTCGTTACATTTTCATTAAATTCAAATGGCTGTGCAAATTTAACCAAAGCAACATCGTTCTGAAAGCAACAAGATTTAAAAAGTGGGGTGGTAACAAATTGTAATTTCGAAATCATTTGACATGAATTCATTGTCCCTCCTCTTCAATCGACATCATAATTATGGTAAATAGTTAACATGATAACCAAGACAAAAGTTAGCTTGAGAGTTAGCAAAAAGCTGTCTTTTAAAATGAGCATATTTAGAATTCAAGTATTGTACTCACATTAGTACCAGTAAATTTTCCATAGAGAGGATGAAGAAAAGTCATTTCGGCTTCTCTTGTCTGAATGGTGCCATGCGAAAAGGTGCCATCTGAATCGGTTCGATAATCGAACAGACCAGCGTTGACCTAATTGAAGTTAATAAGTAAATGGTATAATAGTTTGAAATTGGTGTTCATTAATGGAGGGAAAGGGAAAGGTGGAAACAAGCACGCTGGTACGAGTTGTCTAGTTAAATTGTTGTTTACACCTCTCGCTAATGGGTGACATTAGAAAGCTGCATGATATGTTCCAATAAAAACAAGATATTGCATTACCTCAATTCCACTAGTTGAAAAAGTCTCCAAACAATGAGCTGCTGTCACCGCCCATTCTTCAGAAAGGAGGGACATTCCACAGGTCTTGGTACCCCCCATGCGCAACTGATTGATATATTGAGTTAATACTTTAATAGATAATTTGGTCATGTCAAAGAAAACTGATGTCCCAAATGTGCACCTCTAAGCTAAGGGACCTCATAGGGGGGACATAGGGGGAGGTAAAGCTAAGGGACCTCATAGGGGGGACCCAGGGGGAGGTAAAGCTAAGGGACCTCATAGGGGGGACCCAGGGGGAGGTAAAGCTAAGGGACCTCATAGGGGGGACTCAGGGGGAGGTAAAGCTAAGGGACCTCATAGGGGGGACTCAGGGGGAGGTAAAGCTAAGGGACCTCATAGGGGGGACTCAGGGGGAGATAAAGCTAAGGGACCTTATAGGGGGGACCCAGGGGGAGGTAAAGCTAAGGGACCTCATAGGGGGGACTCAGGGGGAGGTAAAGCTAAGGGACCTTATAGGGGGGACTCAGAGACTCAGGGGGAGGTAAAGCTAAGGGACCTTATAGGGGGGACCCAGGGAGAGATAAAGCTAAGGGACCTCATAGGGGGGACTCAGGGGAGGTAAAGCTAAGGGACCTTATAGGGGGGACTCAGGGGGAGGTAAAGCTAAGGGACCTTATAGGGGGGACTCAGGGGGAGGTAAAGCTAAGGGACCTCATAGGGGGGACCCAGGGGGAGGTAAAGCTAAGGGACCTCGTAGGGGGCACTCAGGGGGAGGTAAAGCTAAGGGACCTCATAGGGGGGACTGAGGGGGAGGTAAAGCTAAGGGACCTTATAGGGGGGACTCAGGGGGAGGTAAGGCTAAGGGACCTCATAAGGGGGACATAGGGGGAAGTAAAGCTAAGGGACCTCATAGGGGGGACTCAGGGGGAGGTAAAGCTAAGGGACCTTATAGGGGGGACTCAGGGGGAGGTAAAGCTAAGGGACCTCATAGGGGGGACTCAGGGGGAGGTAAAGCTAAGGGACCTTATAGGGGGGACTCAGGGGGAGGTAAAGCTAAGGGACCTTATAGGGGGGACTCAGGGGGAGGTAAAGCTAAGGGACCTTATAGGGGGGACATATGGGGAGGTAAAGCTAAGGGACCTCATAGGGGGGACTCAGTGGGAGGTAAATCTAAGGGACCTCATAGGGGAGACTCAGGGGGAGGTAAAGGCTTATCTCAAAAATCAGTCCAGACTATCTCTACTAATTGATTCTTAGAACATGTTTCTGTGTTTTTGTTCACAAACTGTAGATAATAGATTTTAGACTCGATTTTCAGTACGCTTGATTGAAAATCGCTTGCGCAATACAATTACTCATATATAGGCGCTAATAGCTATTAGTCCCTTCAATTAGAAATAACTAAAAGATCGATTGAAGTGTTTAACTTAGGATCAATCATTAATGAGCAGATCCGATCAATTATACACGGATTAGTCTTAAGAGATTAATGCAATGTTTTCATGTTTTACGCAGTTGCAGTCTTTTGATGTTTATACAAAGAGTATTAAAGATAAGTCAAAAAAAAAGAAAAGAGTACTGAGAAACAGTGCTATCTGCAGAACACCGGCAGAAAATAATTCAGAGTGGACTCAGAAATGCAATGCACCAAGATGCCGAACATGCAGGCATATGTGTAGTGCAGGGGAAGAATTTGTAGTTAATGGACAGAAGCTAGTAGTTCCTATCAGATATAATTGTAAATCTAAAAATGTTATTTATGTGGCCCAATGTAAGCTTTGTAATGAGTAATCTAATAAAGGAAGAAGGTTATGAGATAGTTGTAGAAGACACTTATTTCGGGCAAACAATGCAAAACCTTCATAAACGTGTCAATGGACACAGAGCTTGTTTTAAAGTAGAGGATCGTAATAAATCAGCCCTTTCGATTCATGCCTATGAACATCACAGTGACATTTTTACTATTGACAACTATAAATTTGCCATTTTGAAAGAATGTAACCCCAGGGGATTAAATAGGGAGGAATTTAGGTATATTGAGAAGTATAGAACTAATTGCTTGGGTTTAAATAGATGCAAAGTTGAAAGATAAGGTTCTTAGTTTTTAATTCGTTTTTTGAAGACATATATTTTTGTGTAGTTCATTTCCATTTACCACGTGTATTTTATTTAGGTTATTTGATTCTCGATTTTTTGAGGCATTTTAGATCTTCGTTTGTTTAGTACTAATTAAACTAACCAACTTAATTCCATTGTAGCTAATGATGTAATCTTACGAAGTATACACTACATTTGCGTGTTTCACTGTCTAGCCCATCAACCATAATCAGGATCAGATAGTTACAGACTGTTGAAATCGTATATTGCTCCAGCGTTACCAACTACCAAATCGTACAAGGATTTGAAGACTGAACTCATCAACAACCTGGCTCCCACTACTTCCGCGATCAGTGAATCGTACAAGCTTGCTTAGTTGAGACAGGAGACGTCAGAGACTATAACTTTGTTTATGCCTAGGGTGAAGATATCGGCTTCAAAGTGTCAGTTTGGTGATTCCTATGATAGGATGGTACGTGATCGTTTTATTTGTGGACTGAAATCTGAACGGATCAAAGCAGCTTTAATCAACGATGATCAGATCAAGACGTCAGCACCAGCGTTAACAAAAGCGCTAGCAAGAGAGGCTAGTGACTCAGCAGCCCATACGATGGCTGGTTACAGTATTCATGCATTGTTCAGGAGACCTAACAAGAAGAAGTTTACTCCTAGTACACCTTCCACACAGTGGGCCAGAATAGGGGGTCATGCTATACTAGACCATCAGTGATCAATTTAGATCATTTCAAACATTATTTTTTATTTCAAATCAGTTGAATATTGATTTTTAAACAAATTTTGGTCCTTTATAAGTCACAGAAAAATTTTGTTGGCTCATTCCATAGAAATTTTTCATGGCTGAAATGTAGGTCTAGAGGCATCCAATTCGAGTTTTTGCTAAAGATAATCGTTGAATGTGTTTAGAATGTTTTTAAATTGATAGTCCTGAGGCTATTGATCATTTTAGTTTTTGAATTATGAAAAAATATTGATCGTAGCCAAAGTTATGTCAAATTGAAACCAGAAAATTGGGCGCGAATGCCAGAAATTTCTGAAATTGTCAGAAAATACCAGTAAAATTCCAGAAAAATAGCATTTTTTGATGATATTTCCAAAACAGACCACTTTTTAGTACCCCATAACCTCATGGCACCAGGCCACGACATTGAGAGCCAAGAAAGATGTTCAAAATGGGGTTTGTTTGAGAAAAAATAATTTTTTTCAAATCTGCAAGGTAAGTCTAAATTCCATCAAATTTGGGCCTTTTTTCAACTTTGAAATGAAATGAAATGAAATGAGGTATTTATATCCCGCTCATATGATTAACCAACAACACAAGGAAGGTGGTTAACCATGTCAGAGCGGCTGACTGTGAGTGATGTGAGCAAATGTGTAAAAAGTGAACTAAAGTATAACTCAGCATAAGGCAAAGACAAAATTAAAACATCTTTTATTGTAAACCACACTAAACTAAATAGAAGCAGAAACCATACAGTACATGTAGGTATAATAAAGGTTAGTACAGTGACATAATCAATCAAGAAAGAATCAGATCCAAGTAAGTAAGAGATCAAGGCATAAAATGGAGTGCGGTAAAAAATAAAAGCCAATGTGTCTTGCAAAGTGAAGACAATGGAAAGAAAAACATCAGAACTGATTATATAAATGATTCTTTAACATTCGCTTGAAACAGTTGGTATCAGTGATACATCTCAACATCAGGGGAAGAGAGTTCCATGCAATCGGTGCATGGCTTGAGAAACGTCTGTCATCAACTTTGGATCTTTTATTCTTTGGTACCTTGAGCATGAGATGGTCATCAGGTCTCTTCGACCTGGTCATGGTCATGGTGTTTGAGAGTTCTTTATCCACTACATCCACATCCAGTAGTGCTTTGAGGTAATCAGGTGCAGTACCGTGAACTGATTTGTGGGTTAAAAGACAAACTTTAAAGAAGATTCGTTGGTCTATAGGGAGTATGTGGGCCTTCTTATAGAAGGGAACCAAGTCCGTGGTCCTCTCTTCTATGTTATAGATGAAACGAACTGCCCCATTAAGGGTTGATCTAAGTTTGTTCAATCTGGTCTTGGGTAGATTCATGTAAAGAGAATTACAGTAGTCTAATTTAGATATGACCAGTTGTTTCACCAGCATCAATTTAATGCCTTCATCAAGGTAACGACCAATGGTTCTTAGATTCATCATTGTCCAGCTGCATTTCCTTTTGACATTATTGATCTGTCTTTCCATATTTAGAGTTTCATCAAATTTGACACCCAGACTCTTCCAGCTGTCTCCTTTACACTCCGTAGGCAGAATTTCAGTGCTTCCAAATTGCAGTCTGACACTGAGTTCACACTTTTTTAGAACATGGCTCTTTCCTAACACCAGTAGTTCTGTCTTTGTTTCGTTCAGTTTCATGTAGTTGTTCACCATCCATGCTTTTATCTCTGCAAGACATTTGTTTGTTCTGTCTTGGACATCAATGAACTGTACTACACGGTTTGGTTTAAATGAGATGTACAGTTGAGAATCATCTGCATAGAGCTGTATATCAAGACCATATTTGGCCGCAATTTTCTGGAGAGCTTTGATATAAAGGATGAAAAGAATAGGCCCCAAGAGTGATCCCTGGGGAACTCCAAACAGCAGCTCCAAGAAAGATGAAAGAGTATCATCAATCTTAACACAGAAGTGTCTTTTCTCAAGGTAGGACTTTATCCATTGCAGTGCACTTCCAGTAATTCCATAGTCCTTCATAAGCTTTTCCAATAAGACTGTGTGGTCAATGGTATCAAATGCTGCACTTAAGTCGAGAAGTACAACTATAACAACATTCCCAGCTTCAATTTCTTTGTTTAGATCATCACACATTCTAACAAGTAATGTTTCACAGCTATGATTAGGGCGATATCCAGATTGGACTTTTGAGTAAAGGCTATGGTTCGTTAGATGGACATTAAGCTGGTTTAGTACAATTCTCTCTAGGATCTTAGAGAAGGCAGAAA